AACTCAAGCACACCGTAAGAGACATGATAGTCATTTCGTATCTTAGGACATTTTGAGCTGGGCTTAATATATCTTCTAGATCAGGAGTCTTCAACCTTGGCCCTTTTATGACTTGTGGACGTCAACTCCCAGAATTCCTCAGCCAGGCACGTGTGCCTGGCTGAGGAATTCTGGGTGTTGACGTCCACAAGTCATAAAAGGGCCAAGGTTGAAGACCCCTGTTCTAGATTATCCAGCACAGCGGAAGGCTTATCTGCTGGTTATATCAATTTAAAGTCAAGATTCAAGAACCTGAATTCAATGGTTCTTACTGGATCATCCAGACATCTCATTCCTTGGATTTCAGTGTTTGGAAACTGACCCTTCTTTATTATTCTTCTCCACTTGTGTCTCCTATTTAAGCTTGTTTGCAGTTGGGAGCAGCTAGTTAGGATTAAATTCCTAACCTAAGTATTCTGTTGACATGACTTGGATTAGCCCAGCCAACCAATTGCTTGAGAAACCAGCTCTCCCTGGGGTTTTTTTTTGGGGGGGGGAGGGCGGGGGGGAAGTGGCTTTTATATTCTTTACCCTTCAGACCTGTCTCTAAATGCATTGTACATCATGTCCAGGACTAACAGGAATTTGATCTCTATCTCTGGCAGGTAAAAGGTTCCTGGGCTGGTTACTATGACTACAATACCTTTGATCAGAATCCTGTGATTGGCAGGCACCCACAAGTGTCAAACATCTTCTTTGCTTCGGGTTTCAGTGGGCATGGACTACAGCACGCCCCAGCAGTGGGACAAGCCATAGCTGAGCTCATTCTGGACTTCAAATATAAGTCCATCAACCTTGAGAGATTCTCCTTCAATAGGCTAATTAGAGACGAGAAGCTTCTTGAGAGAAACATAGTCTAAAGTCGTCCAAGTTGGGATCCATTTTGAGAGTGAGTTTTAGTTGTTTATTCTCCCCTTCTTTTCATCCGCAGGCCAAGTCATTATAGGCTCAGCTGGCAGTGCAAGGAAGTTGCTAGGACTGTGGTACTGCACAGCTGCAGTTCAATTGAATGGGTCCATTTTGTGCAGAATAACTCCAAAGAGTAACTGTAAGGACCCACCTCAATTTGCCTCTTAAGAAAACAGAACTCTTGAATGTCTCTTCCAACAGGAATCTTTATTAAGAGAAACTGATTGTAGGCATGCTAGACAGGATCTGAGGGATCCCCCCCCCACCATTCAATGTTTTAAAGTGTTCCCAATCAGCCCCCACCCCACAGTTCTTCTGGGTGATTCAATCCATCCGTCTGCTCTGCTCCGTCAGCACGATCACTCATTCTCTCTCTTCCCAGATCCCAGGTGTTGCATTTCCCCCCACCCCCTTTTCCCTCACTGCCGGCAAAGGGGAGAAATTCAGAGAGAGTACAATGAAAGGCGATGGCCGCATTGTTATGGTTATTACTCTTGAGGAGAATCAACAAACGGTTACTTTGTAGTTAATGGAGGAAATGAGAGTCATAAAGCCCCCATACTTACCCTCCTCCCCTTCCGTAGTATGACAGAATCCAGAAGCGAGTAAGAATTGATTTTATATCAGAGTAGGTAGATAGAAATGAAATATAATTGGATTCTGGCAGTAACTGAAGAGTTGTGTGCATTGTTGCTATGATGAAAGCACCCGGAACCTGATACCAAAGAGGACACTTGTTGAGGACAGGGTTTTCCCCTCATCAGCTATACTTCTTTTGCTCTCCTTTGTCATTTCTCCTGTGCATTCGGCAGAGGAATTTTGAGAAAGAGGAAGGAGATGACAAAAAGATCTGTTGTCCTTCTTCTTCCACCGTTTGGTCTGCTTAGCTCAGCTTTAGAGAAAGAGGAAGTGCAGTAGTTTATTCTAGATCATTTGTAGGATTGTGGCTGAAAGGAGACAAAAGGAACAACTGAACTAGGCCACTTCTTAAATCTCTCTCTCTTCTCCCTTCTTCAAGACAAAATTTAGATCAAGAATAGGATGTTCTGGACTGAAATAGAAGTTTACTGAGGATAAAGCTTTACTTGCAACCATTAATCAGCTAGTTCCTCAAACCTGGAAATGTTAAGATGGGTGGACTTCAATTCCCAGAATTCTAAGAGCTGCAGTCTACCCATTTTATCAATTACCAGGTTTGAAAAACACTACTCTAGGAGCTCTCCCTTCCCTAGTTTATCCCCAGAACCTGATATCCAGAAATATACTGAATCTATAGGAAATCTTAATTTGTTCTTCCAAATGAAAGTTACTCCTAAGAAATCTACTTCAATCGCCTTACACAAAGTACCTCATTTGATTTTTTTTATGACATTTTGGAGCAGGGCTACAACTGGGACATAAATACAGTGTGAGGTGCAGAGAAAGTGCATCAGCATTCTCTTCCAACATACGTGGATCATGTACTGTAAAACATGTTGATTTTAGACATAGACTCGGGAACCTTAACTCTGCAGAATAGAATACTGATCTACTGAGCTTAGAGCATCACAGTGCAAATAATTTTTAACAACGTTGACAGTGTAAGCCAATAAAACAAATTATTTCCAAGTGTATATAAATTATTTCCAAATGTATACAAAATATGACTCTTTTGCAATGTTTATTGTATAAATAATATTTTGACATATTTAAATGATATATCGGTAGGGATATCACAACCAAAGGGAATTGGTTATTGTTGTTGTTGTTATTAGTTGCGAAGTTGTGTTTGACCCATCGCGACCCCATGGACAACGTTCCTCCAGGCCTTCCTGTCCTCTACCATCTTCTGGAGTCCATTTAAGCTCACGCCTGCTGCTTCAGGGACTCCATCCAGCCACTTCCTTCTCTGTTGTCCCCTTCTTCTATTGCCCTCCATCTTTCCATTTTTTGATACCTTTTCAATTTTTTTTTATCATGTACTGAACTGATAAATACCTCCTGTAGAAAGATTCCCAGTTTTTTGTCTGAGGAAGGTTCATCCCAAATAATTAAACCTTTCTCTCTCTTGCTGGCTGAGATAAGCTTACTGATCTCACAGAGATATTTTCTCTTTTCAAAGAGGTGCCAAAGAATCAAGGTTTAAGAAATTCATGTGCCTTCCTTCATTAAGACTCTTACTTCTTCCCGTTCATTCTGCAGCCTTTGCATATACATAGAGGCACAGTGGAATTCTTGGAACAGAGAGTTTGAACTATTCCTTTCTATCTTACAGTTTGTCACCGAGTACGTCCTCAACCTGCATACTCTTAGTTTCTTTTGCAGTACTTGGCATCACATAATTTTCGAGACTCTCTTCCATCTCCCATTTTTTTTAAAAAAAACACACATTCCCAGTTCTTGTGCGATTTCTTGCCAAGAGTTCATTTTGGAAACATGTTTCATTAGCAAAGAAACTAAGACATCTTACTCGAGCTTAACTCCTGGATGACTATTTTTCCGCTATATTGTAGAAATGGGTTGCTACTGTTTTCCAGCTGGCCAGTGTAGTCAACAACCCTGGAATTCCGAGGTAATACCATTCCAAACAATAACCAAGGCTGGCCCCTCTTAGCTTCTGAAATAGAAGCTAAATTACAAGACAATTAAGCGTCAAGTCACTGTCAGCTCAGCCACCAAATATAGATGTTCTCCAGGACATGAATGAACAAAATAAATAATTTGATATTTCCATAGTGTCTTGTGCACTACAAATTCATGGGGGTTTTTGCTTAGGGCCTTACAGAGACCCAACCATTTAGATTGGTTAAACTGACCCAGTGCCCTCTGTGAAAACTGCCCATCCATCAGCCAGTTCAACAGCTCCCACCCTCCTGCTGTCAAGGAAAATGGCCTTTGCAGGAGGCAACAGTCTCCCAAATGGAAGTTGTTGAGCATAACTTCCTCTTCCTTCGGAAGATCTTAATTCCCCTACTTGGATTATTTTCAAAAAGCAATGCTGGTGCCTTACACTTCTGGGTCATCTGCTGAGAATTAAACCCCCTGGATCAGTGGTTCTCAACCTGTGGGTCGGGACCCCATTTGGGGTCGAACGACCATTTCACGGGGGTCGCCAAACAACGCAGTCCGCCATTTCCCCCCCCCCTTTTCCTTAGCTGTGCTCCTCCCTTTTATTCTATTGGCTTTGGAAAGCCAATAGAATGGACTCTCTTGAATAGAGTCTAATTCTATTGGCTTTCAAAAGCCAACAGGAATTGTCCAGGCTGTCTCTGCCCTGCTGAGCCCGCCAAAAGCCCCATTCTGCAAACGGTGCTGCACCAGTTGAGTAGTCCTCCACTTACGAACGGTTGAGTAGTCCTCGACTTACGACCGGTTGGGGGGGTCGCGGCATTAAAAAGGTTGAGAACCACTGCCTTGGATGCAAACAATCCCAACGTCTATGGCAATGTTTCTCAACCTTGACCATTTTAAGGCATGTGGATTTCAACTCCCAGAATTCCACAGCCAGCATTGCTGGCTGTGGAATTCTGGAAGTTGAAGTCCACATGCCTTCAAATGGCCCAGGTTGAGAAACACTGGTCTATGGAGATTCTCAGTCATCCAGGTCGTAGTTGCCCCAAAGATGCTTTTTCACCAGGAATGAAAAAGTTGCCTCGTTGGGGGGGGGGGAAACATCCTTGGGAAAACCATTCAGACACTCCCTGCATCCACCCCCCCCCTGGTCTTCCTCCCACCCCCCAATGGGTTTAATAGCGACCCAGCATCCCTCCAGGGACTTCGGTCCTCTTTTGCAAAGCCGAGACTTGGCGAAGGGAGCGACCGGCTCCGCCTGGGCGCAGGTGGCGCCCCTTCGCGCGACCCTCACATCAAACCCCGAGGTCGCCTCGGGTTGCAGCGCATCATTCGGGCAAAGCGGTTATGCAACCCGGGTACCAAAAAAAAAAGGGGGGGGGCTGCCCGAATCTAGACCCGCTCCAGCCCCGAGGGAACCGGTCCCAGCTGAAAGCCCGACGCGCGGCTTAAGGAAGGCGGGCGTTGGGCGAAGGCGGCCGCCTGCTTTGCGGAGAGGCTCGCCCGGCGAAGGCGGGGCAGACAGGGCAGCGCTAAGGGCGGAGGGAAGGAAGGTCCCCGCTGGGCGGGCTGGGCGAGAACCTGCCCCCCGGAATCCCTCGCGCAACGCTGGGCGCGGAGAGGCGGCGTCGCGCCCTGGTCGGAGACGCCAAAGGGGGAAGCGGGCGAGCGGCTGCGTTTCCTCGCAGGGTCTTCGCGGCGGGAGAAAGGCGAGCGGGCCTCCAGCGGTGGTCCCGGCGCCGGGGAGCAGGTGGGTGAGGCCGGCCGCGGCGCCTCCGGGAGCTTCGGTCCCGGGTTTGCTTCGCTTTGCGCGCCGCGCCCGGCTCCGGCTTGCCTGGTTCCGGGAAGCGTTTTTCTTTCTTTTTAGTGGAAAGTTTAATTAAAAGGCACATGAAGAGGAATGGGAAAGGAAAGTAGAAAAAAGGTAGAAGGGGAGAAAAAAAAAAACAAACCCGTAAGAAAGAGAAACGGCCCTCGATCTTTTAAGTCGCAAACTTTTTAAACCTCTTTAGATCAGGGTTTCTCAAGCTTGACCATTTTAAGGCCTGTGGACTTCAACTCCCAGAATTCCACAGCCAGCGTTGCTGGCTGTGGAATTCTGGGAGTTGAAGTCCACAGGCCTTAAAATGGTCAAGCTTGAGAAACACCGCTTTAGATTAATGATGTGATATAGTTCTCTTCTCAAATGGACCCTTTTGAATCGGCGGGATCGCCGGTTCATTTTTGTCCGTTTCCGGGAAGAGGTCCAAACAGAGTTTCCATTCTGTTTTGTCCCCCAGTCGAACCAAGTCGATTGGGCCATTTCTGCACATTCTTCCATTTTTATCCTCCCCTCCTCCGTTTTCTCTATTGCAAGAAAAGCAGCCTTCGAAATATGTTTTAGGTGCCTCCGCCTCTCTCTCTACAGGAGATTCGCTCCTGGAATCTGGTAAATGGAATAATCCTGTTTTGCTCTTTCCTGTTGAAGTTGAAAGTAGATGAAAAGACCCAGCCAGAGTGGAACAGAGCTGAGCTGAGCTGAGTTCCGGTGGGATGTGGGACCCACGAGCTTCTCCTGCGGAAGGCAGGCGTGAATAATTCACAGTGGAAGACTTGCTGATGGATATGGCAGGTAAGATAGTGCCAGTGTGCATGTGCGTTGAGTCTTCTTCCCTTCACCCTAACTTCTCCTTTCACATAATCCCTTGGAAGAATTTGTGAAAGCAGCCAAGTTTTATGATCCACTAAGACAGTGGTTCTCAACCTTTTTAATGCCGCGACCCCCAACCGGCTGTAAGTCGAGGACTACTCAACCGGTCGTAAGTCGAGGACTACTCAACTGGTGCAGCACCGTTTGCGTAATGGGACTTTTGGCAGGCTCAGCAGGGCAGAGACAGCCTGGACAATTCCTATTGGCTTTTGAAAGCCAATAGAATTAGACTCTATTCAAGAGTCTATTCTATTGGCTTTCAAAAGCCAGTAGAATAAAAGGGAGTAGCACAGCTAAGGAAAAGGGGGAAAAAATGGTGGACTGCGTTGTTTGGCGACCCCCGTGAAATGGTTGTTTGACCCCAAATGGGGTCCCGACCCACAGGTTGAGAACCACTGCACTAAGAGAAACTATTTATCAGGGTTGTGCTGTTGATCAACTTTCAAGATGTGTTGGGCTGCAATGACTATGTTGTGGACATTGTGGGAATTGGAATCTAATTTCTCTAGATAATACCAGAGTGAACTAGCTGAGCAATTCTTGAGCAATATCTAAACTTAAAAATGGTGACTGTGATTATGAAAGGAGCAGAAGGAAGGTTCAGGAAAACAATATTGAGAGACCATTATCTAGCACCGTGGCTTTCAACCTTTTCTTCCCCAAGGACCCCCTTTTAAATACCTTTTGTGAGAATCTCTTCTTCTTATCTTTAGCTCTCTCTAGCTCAGTGTTTCTTAAGCATGGAAACTTGAAGAGTTGTGGACTTCACCTCCCAGAGTTCTGGGGGCTGAAGTCCACACGTCTTCAAGCTTCACACTTGAGAAACATTACTTTAGTTCAGTGGTTCTCAACCTTTTCTTCACCACGGACGCCCTTTAAATACCCTCGGTGGCCATAGAACAAGGTCATGGACCCCCAAGACTTAAATCAAGATTTAAATCGTAACATATCTTCCAGCCTTCCTAGATCCCCTGTGACCCCCTCCCCCCAGGGATCCACAGATCATAAGTTGAGAAACCACTGATCTAGACCAGGGGTAGTCAACCTTGGCTCTTTTATGACTCGTGGTCTTCAACTCCCAGAATTCCTGAGCCAGCCACGCTGAGGGAAAAGGGAGAGGCTTCCAAGCTGAGCCATGCTGGCTCAGGAATTCTGGGAGTTGAAGTCCACGAGTCATAAAAGAGCCAAGGTTGCCTGATCTAGACCAAATATATAGCTGTGTTGTACTTTTGAGATCCTAGCTTTTGCATGGAGAAGTGAAAATACGCTAAATTACAACCAATGGAACTCAGTGCAGATAGACACCTGATTATTAACCAAACATATACGTTTCTGATTGGATCCTGTTCTGAAGAGTCACAATTGTTGAATGGTTGTATGTTGAGGTCTACTTGTAGGGTAGAAATTCTTTCATCTCTTTTCAATGATATTTTATACCAGGCGTCTTCAAACGTGGCCCTTTTATGACTTGTGGACTTCAATTCCCAGAATTCCTCAGCCAGGCACGCATGCCTGGCTGAGGAATTCTGGGAGTTGAAGTCCACAAGTCATAAAAGGGGCAGGTTTGAAGACGTCCGTCTTATACTGTTTGTGTTACAGCAGTGAATTCATTGGTAAACCGGTGACTATTGATAAGAATGTATTCTTTTCCTTCTTAGTTTGTATTTTTAGCTTGTCCGTTGAAACATTTTACTAAGTTTTGTTTTTATGATTAAAGGTTGTTTTGTTACCAAAAAAAAACCCCTTGTAAAAATAAAAAGATGGTAGCTTTGTTTAAAGCTTCAGGAGCTGGCTTCCTCAAAACCTGCGTATTTCTGATTTGCGCAGGCTGGTTCAAGGCATTGCTGCAGAAACCCAGGAAGAGGCCAGATGCCTCAAATGGGATCCCTGGGTGTTCTCCTTCCTCAACTTCCCCTCCCTCGCAGAAAAGTCCTGCTTCGCTCCCTCGTAGCTTGACCGGCAGCCCCAAACTGGGGCCCTCCATCTCCCGGATTGTAAGCAGTTCCGACAGTGCCCGATGGAGCAAGTTGTACGACGTCTGCATTTGCCACAGCGAGGGCGACCTTGAGTTTGTGGAAGAGCTGGTGACCTACTTGGAGAACCAGCCCGAACATTTCCGTTGCTTTCTTCAGCTGCGGGACTCTGCTCCAGGTGGGGCTGTTATGACAGAGCTGTGCAACGCCGTTCAGAACAGCCACTGTTGGGTGCTGCTGATCACCCCCAACTTCCTGAAGGATCCTTGGTGTTGCTACCAGATGCACCACGCCTTGACCGAGGCGCCCATGGCGAATGGCCGCACCATCCCTGTGCTGAAGGATATAGAGCGCACGGACTACCCCCGGGAACTCCGGTGTATTTACTACATCAGCGTGGTGCTCCAGGAGAACAGTTTCCGGCAAATCAAAGAGACGATACTGCGTTGTAAGTGAGAAACCGGATTGAGGGGTCTCTTTAGAGCAAGGGTAGGCAGTTCATTTTCCCAAGGGGCCACATGAGAATTTGGGACTGCTGGGGAGGGCCAAACCGATAGGGCTGTGAAGGTGCACAGGTATGCATGGAAATCGAAGAAAGCAAAATATAGGTAGCTCTCAACTCACAACAGTTCATTTATTGACCATTCGAAGTTACAATGGCACTGAAAAAAGGGACTCACGGCCATTTTTCACACTTACAACCGTTGCAGCATCCCATGTTTGCATGATCAAAATTCAGATGCTTGTCCAATGGCTCACATTTATACGGTTGCAGTGTCCCAGGATCATGTGATCCCCTTTTGTGATCTTGCGACAAGTAAAGTCAATGGGGAAGCCATTTCCATTTTACAACCATGTCACTAATTTAATAATTGCAGTGATTCGCTTAACAACTGTGGCAATGGGGCAAAACTCACCTAACAAATGTCTCACTTAGCAACAAAAAATTGGGGCTCAGTTGCGGCTGTATGTCGAGGACTGCCTGTAAAAGCAATCCACGTGGGCCGGACCAGGATAGCCAAAGGGCTAGATGTGATATGGGGGGGGGTATAAAATGCCCAGGTCTGTTTTAGAGGGTGGTACAGACGATTCAAGTTTTGAATAGCATGGCAAGCCATATCAATGGGCAGCTGTTTACTGTTTGGGGGCTCCTGGCCCTTGCGGTGTTCTAGCTAGGTTTACGGCATTGGTGAAGCTTCAGGCAATATTTACTTATTAATGAAATTGATATGCCGTGGCCTCACTCTGCGAAGCAACTCTGGGCAGCTTGCACTTAAAATCATAAGTGTTAAAATAATAACATCAGGTACAAAAATAAGAAACCAAAGATAAGAATGGTACAGTGGGGATATTTTCCCAATAAGTCCACCAGCCACCTCCAGCATGGAGTATATTCTAATCTACTGGTAGTACATCTAAAGAGCCCTGAGTTGGGTATAAGGAAGCTGGTGTACATGCTTGTCTCTGAGTAAAGTCCGTGAATTGAACGGTGAATTTTCTCTCCTCAGTTTCAAAACAGGGTTGTGTAAGGCCCCCCCGTTCATAAATACTGAATTGCTTTCCTCGGTACAAAACATCATTTTGTTAATATCTTTATTTTTATCAATTTTAAGACTGCCTAACTCTGGGCAACTTACAAATAATAATAAAAACAAAAAAATGCATATAAAAAGAAAACACAGCTAGCAAGAACATTAATAAGATTTACAAGAGACTGTAATAGGATAGTTTTGACCTGTTTGGGAAAACTGAAATTTGGAGAAATGCTGTCGGTCACGAAAGGATTGGGAAGATGGGTTCGCATCTTAGATAAACAAAAAACAGATTATTGGTGTGCTTGGTTTTGGTTGAGCAAATTGTGCCAACCCTGCTGTAATTTATTAAATAAATAGCAGCTGAAAGAACCATGGCTTATTTTAATTAGTGAGCCCCTTCATTAGATTCAAATCTCCTAACAGCTTTCTTGTTTCCTTTAGATCTCCTGGACCTTTGTCAAAACCCAAGAAGCACTGACTAATTGCACGTTTGGATTAAAAAAAAAAAGATTCTTGGTTACAGGAAATGTATGGCCAAAGAAAGTCTTTCGGAACATGGAACTTGGAAAAGAAGCCTTTATGGTGAAGGTATCGAGGTTGACACGATTTGCAGCTCAAAGGGCAGATACCATTTGAGGCTGAGATTTAAATCTCTGACTGATTAGCTTTATTTTGGAGATGCATGATGCTTCAATCATCCTGTTTGCGCTTGGAGATAGACCCGGCCAAGAAACAAGCACTGCAGGGATTCCAGGAATGCAGCTATTATGGAAGACAGTTAAAATCCTTCCAAAATCTTCACTGTCCCTTTTTTAAGGACACAACAAGGTTAAGGTCAAGGCTGGACTGTTTTGAGTTTCATTTTTTTTTTCCTGGAACCAAGGAACCATTTTGCCCCTTCTCAAGGCCAGAGCCAAATTCCATTATACTAACAATTCTGATTATATTTGGTGGACAGCAGAACACTAAATTGTAACAAGGAAATGCAAGTGGCTTTGTGTTCATAGGTCAGCTAGTGATGTCCTTCTCTGTAATGTTTCCTTTCCTTTCCTTCCCATCTAGTTTAGCATTTCTCTGCATTCCTAGGCTGTGGCTTTCTTCTTTCTTACATTCAGCTGGTTTCCAGTTTTCTCCACCCAGAGTCTCCCTACCCCTTTTTTTGCTGCTAGCTTCTTTAGTATATAGATAGACCTCGACTTATAACCATTTGTTTAGCGATTGTTCAGAGTTACAGCTGCTTTGAAAAAGTGACTTAAATCAGGGCTTTTCAACCTTTTCACCCATTGTACCACTTTTAGGATGTGGCAATATCCGAGTACTACCAGTTGCCTAGCAAGGTGTCAACAACTTGATGACCAAAAAAAAAGTAAAAAAAAAAGTGATAAAGTAGAGGTAGTCCTCGACTTACAACAGTTTGCTTAGTGACTGTTTGAAGTTACAATGGCACTGAAAAAAGTGCCCCCCAAGCCACAGCCGAGCAAGACACTTGCCTGCCCGCCCGGCCGCACTCTTCCTCCTGTCTGAGGTTTTCATTGTTGTGAGCATTTCTGTTGAGGATTGGCAGCGGGGGTGGGGATGAGGGGGTGTTTGGTTTTTATTCCCCCTGTCTGCTGGGTGGTTACAGCAGGTTTTGATCACTTCACATGACCCTGGGACACAGTGACCGTCATAAATATGAATCAGTTGCCAAGCATCTGAATGTAAATCACAAGACCCTGGAGAGGCTGCAACATTCCAGCTGATCGGCGCTTCTTCTGGGCTCAGCGGAAGCACCAGGATCAGCGCTGAGCTCCAGCTGGAGCCTGGCGCTGATCCTGGCGCTTCCACTGAGCCCTGACAGTCCCAAAGAAGCGCTGATCCTGGCGCTTCCTCTGAGCCCTGACAGCCCTGCAGCTCCAGCCGTCTCTCGCTTAGGCTTGTGCAGTGCTGCCACCGATTCAGCTCATTCCCCTCCCCCTCTACCACTTTTCTAGGATGCTCGCGTACCACCTGCAGGTGCCAATGTACCATGGGTGATACCTGTACCACTGGTTGAAAAGCCCTGACTTAAATGACCAGTCCTCGCAGTTATGACAATTGTAGCATCCTCATAGTCATGCTTATGATCACATAAGCAAAATTCAGACGCTCGGTAACCGGCATGTATTTACAAGGATTGTGGCATCCCAAGGTCATGTGATTGCTATTTGTGATCTTCCCAGCAGGCTTCCAAAATCTGTGGGGATGGGGGAGGGAAATGGATTCGTTTAAGAATCGCATAATCCAGTTAAGAACTGCAGTGATTGCCTTGAGTTTGTAGCCATGATTGGCTTTACCTTTTCATGGCACTACCTAATGATCAATTTGAGAGAATTCAGATCCCACCATTTACACCCCAGTGAGCTGCCTGTCCAGTGACAAGGTTGCTGTTCTGTTTGAGATTTTGTTTCCACATCTGTATGATTTACAGAAAATGTATGTGGCAAAATTTGCATATTGTGCTAAACTGAAATACTTGTTAGTTTTGATTTAGAGGTGTGAACCCAGCCTCTTTTGGTTCTCTGCAAAGCCTGCTAACTGTGTAGCTTATTCAACAAAGACGAACTAACCTCTGGTTTGAAAAATTCAGTCTGTGTTTATATGGTGGGGGTTTAATTTAATCCTGTGTCATCCAGTGTTAGTAGTACCTTGAACTGTTACTGAAAATACAATGTTGGCCAATGATCTGTTGAAGGAAAAGTCTTTATCATGGTTCAGTCCAAGCCTGGAATAAACAACATGGCAACTGCTTTAGAAAGAAGGTTGCAGTTTATTGAAAAGGAGAGCCAGGCAGAAAGATGGCTCTGGAAGAAAAGAGAGAGAGCACATGTAGGGAGTGGGGTTTTATACCCTCTGGAGCCTTTTGTTTGGAGTTGTTCCTTTGGCATAAAATTTGACCTGAGTCTGAGTGTGCCCTTTGGTATCTATGGGTTAATCCTATTATGTCCTGTCATACTGTAGATTTTGGGTGGGGTATGTAGATTTTAAGTATCTTTGTCTTCTTAATCTTCTAGCTTCAACCTTCCTGAATGGTTTACATCTGCATTTGTACAGAGCTGGTTTCTGCTTGGGGGAGGGAAACTTGGGGCTATTAAGAAAAACTGGGCATGCTTTTTTGCCTCTTTAAGATCCTTTGAGGAAATATATTTTTCTGCCCTTTTAATATTTCCTTCTCTGAGGGGCTGACTTCCCACAGATCCTTCTAGGGAACGGTTTGTGTAATTTGAAATAAAAGGAATACCTGAGATTTCATTCTAAATTGTGGGTGCAGTTCCCATGATGTAAATCTGAATGCTGAATTGCATTTGGAGTGGGTTTATCTGCCATGTTTGGATTACTAGTTATGCCTTGTAATGGCCCATGCAATTTTGGAATAAATTCTGTTTTTGTATATAAGAGGACAAATGACCAACAGAAAGCATATGATCAGAAGATGAAAAGGCTCTTCGCTGACAAACTTTGGAACTCTCTGCCTAAGGGAGGCTGGATTGGGGTTTTTTGTATCATCTTTTTATTTAGATATCTCTTTTTGACAAATAAACCATGTTTATTATAGAGCTCCTTTTTGAATGTTTGTTATGTGTCCATTAATCAATCTAAGTATCCTATTTTGATAGAAAGGTGGTTATATCTTGAGTAAGCATTTGGAACAGTTTTGGAGTTGTAGCTAAAGTCGATCTATAGAAGCTAGTTATATTATCATGCTAATTTTCATCATTGTTTCTCTGATCTGAACCATCCATCTATTTCTAGTACAGAGATCTGCGCAGGAACTAAGAACGAACCACGAAGTCGTCCTCCAAAACTATTGAGCGGGTACTCTACATTTCCTGAGTCTATATTCAGAGCTAAGATTTGCGGGTGTGCGCAGGCGCAAGGGTCCTTGGATTTATTTTCTCCAAAAAAGCTCCTGGTAGTAGTGTCCTCCGGCCGGTAGAGGGAGCCGCCGAAGCTTTATTGGCGCGCGCTTGGAGCTAATCCAGATGCGCCTGCGCGTTAGTTTTACGCTTCAGAGATGGCCGAGTCTCCCGCTCTTAAGAGAAAACGTGAGGAGAAAGAGGGAGAGAACGGATCCGCCGCGCCTCCGAATGAAGGGCCGGCCCCCGGCAACTTCCCTTTGGCCGAGCTCTCTGTGCTGAAAGTGCTGAGGGAATCTGCGCGGGAGAAGGCGATCTTCCTCCACGGGCGGGTAGGGAGATTATTGGTTCTCAGGTTTTGGGAATTGTTAGGTGGCGGCCAATAAGAGAACAGGGGCGGGGCTACCTGGCAGCGTCTCATTTCCCCCCCCCTTTGGGAAGGGAACGTCACGATTTGCATAGCGATGACGGGCAGGGGAGCGTGTGACGTCATCGCACACCTGCCCTTCCTGCGCGTCGGTCCTGCTGCAAGGTGTTCCAGAACTACAGCTCCCATCATCCTCCCCTCTATTAATAGGTCGTGTAGGCGGGGCGGTGATGGGATTTGCGGTCCAAGGCATCTCAAAGCTATTTTTCTTAGGGGGAAAGTGACGTAAGGACCGGATGGCTTGCTGTGGCTGCAGAAAGATGGATTGGAGAAAGGAGGATAGTGAAGGAAGACAATTGAGAAGAGGATAAAGAGAAGGAGGGGGGCCGTCTCTTCCATTGAGTGCAGAGGCGATGGGGGGGGCTTTTGCACTTCCCAGGTTTTTGAGAATTCCCCCCTTGGTTTGCTGAGGTGTGCGAAAGAAGCAGCAGGAGGGGTTTCTTCTCCCATGTTGGGGTGATGTGGGAAGACTGAATAACTGCACAAGTTAGAATAGAATAGAATAGAATAGAATAGAATAGAAAATAGAATAGAATAGAATAGAATAGAATAGAATAGAATAGAGAATAGAATAGAATAGAATAATTAGAATAGAATTAGAACATAGAATAGAATATAGAATAGAATATAGAATAGAATAGAATATAGAATAGAATAGAATATAGAGTAGAATTAGAACATAGAATATAGAAGAAAAGAATATAGAATAGAATAGAGCTGGAAGGGACCTCGGAGGTCTTCTAGTCCACCTCCTGCTTAAGCAGGAGAACTATACCATCTCAGACAGGTGAATGTCTAATCTCTTCTTAAAAATCTCCAGTGATGGAGCGCCCATGATCTCTGGAGGCAAGCTGTTCCACTGGTTAATTGTCCTCACTGTCAGGAACTTTCTCTTTAATTCCAGGTTTATTCTCTCTTTGATCAGTTTCCAACCATTGTTTCTCGTCCTTCCCTCTGATGCTTTGGTGAACAGCCTGACCCCCTCTTCTCTGGTAGCCCCTGAGATGCTGGAACACTGCTATCATGTCTCCCCTATTTCTTTCTTTAGACTAGCCAAACCCAAGTCCCGCAGCCGTTCTTCGTATGTTTTAGTCTCCAGGCCTTTGATCATCTTAGTTGCTCTTCTCTGAATTATTTCCAAACTCTCAACATCTTATTTGTGATACGGTGACCAAAATTGGCTGCAGTATTCCAGGTGTGGTGTTACATGTGAATAGATTCCTGGTGAATAGCGCCCCCGTAATGTCTGATTTTTGGGGTTTCTGCATATTTTTTTAATCTATCAAAAATATACAAATAACATAGATTTTTATAGTTTATATTTTTATAGTTTATATTTTTAATTTATTTATTAAAAGTTATTTAATTTATTATATATAAATGTATTTACCCATGCTGGTAAAGAATTCTAGAAGTTGAAGTCCACACATTTTAAAATTGCTAAGGTTGGGAAATATAGCCAATGAGTAAAGTTTGAAGATACTGAGAGGTACCAGGCAAAGATGGTAAAGAATTTGGGTTAGTTATAGTAAAAGCTTCCTCAGGCTCATCTTCTGGTAATGATTATGGACATGGTCTTTCCATTTTCTTGGCAACAATACAGAAACAGAGTGCCACTGCATTCTTCTGTTGTTTTCCTAAGCACTCCAATTTAGCATACAGTCTGCTGGGATTTCTTGTGGTCTTCCATCCAAGCACTTTTTCAAGATCAGCCAAGGTTACCTAGAGACTGCCATTTGCTGTAACAGCTAAAATATGGGGAAAAAAGAAAATATTTTGTACTCTAACCTCAACTGATGGATCAGCATCATTTATTTAATAAGTTTTCCTTCTTCAATCCCCAACCCCCTATGCTGTTCAGATTCCAGCTGCAAAGCAGAAAAATATTTTGACAAAATATATTCCAGAACATCCAGGCTACATATTGGGAAGAACCAGCTGTTAATGACCTATCATAAATTCTCTACTGATTTTAATGTTATTGTTCAATCCCTGGGAGAATACATGGGTTTATATCACACAGTAATCCATTTAACCATTGTTTGTTGAATAAAACCTCAAGAAACTACAGTGGTTTGGGTGCTAAACCCAAAACAAATAAACTATAATGGGGTTTAGCAATGGAGATATTCTAGATGAGATCTAGTCTACAGGTTTGACAGTGAAAAATAAACACGGAGTAGAGCTGTCATGCAATTGAATGAAATTGTGTAGCGGAGTGCCCAGATTGTTATTATTTCACCTAACAAAAGCATTACCTACATATCTCCAGATTTAGATTATTTTTCTTATTAGCATATCTATTGCTTTTGGCTAGGAGATCAGTTTTTCATGTTTAGTGTTTAAAGCGAAATTGAATTGCAAACTAGCAGTTAACTTGAATGCTGTAAATAAGATGGATGAACTTGTCACTCAGGGCCTATAAGAACTGGAAAATTGCAAGTACTCTTTTAATTCGCCATTTACATCTATATTGTGTTTCAAAGGCAGATTCTCCAGAGTGCAGGGGATGCAGCTGGATTAATACTGTTATTGTCCTCTGTAAATCCACCTGGAGATAACCAAGGTATAGAATGAAGTGTCAGGAAATTGCAAGCATCTCTATCATTTTATAGAAGAGTCTAAATTCTAGAAGAGTGATTTTTTTTAAAGGAAGGTGGATTAGATTCAAGGTCAAATTCAAAGTGTGGGTGAGTAAAGCTATTAAAAGGGGGAAGGATCGATAAACTAGAGTTACAAAGCACCACCTCAAGCAGGTAATGTGCTTCTTGGTGGAACAGCCAAGGTCAGATTTAGTATAGTAGATGCAGATGAATCGTTCCACCATCCCTCATTCCTGTATAGTGTATCACAAGGTTAATCGTGGCACACATTTTTTTCTGCACTAATCAACTTACCAGGAGACTGGCTATGATAAGAGTACAGTAAATTCTTATTAGTGCCATGTGCAGATCTAAATCGTCCTCCTGTAGCCTATTATCCTGAGTTTCTTCTCCTGTCCCCTTAATATCTAAATATACTGTCAATCATGGTAGCTCCCTGATACTTCTAAGCCAGTAGGTTTGATAAATGTTTAATTTACATATTTCATTACTTGTACATATCTGGTGAAGCTCCCAAAGTACATTGAAATGCTTTGCCCATTTATATCTGCACAGAGCAATGTGTTCAAATTCAGGATTTTAAGGTTTAAAAACTTGACTGATAACCATCAAGCAGAAAGGCTATTTCACTCAATATATGCTTGAGGTCTGCGTTCCGTACGTGATTATCCCATCTGTACCAATAGATCAAAATAAAAATGCTTTTTATTCTTCCTGGTTTTATACCCCATTTTTTCACTTGTGGCTTAAGGATCAAATATTCGTGATCTTGATGGTAATGATTCAAAAGGTTAGAGAGACTGGAAAAAAAATTATAACCGGACCTCTTGTTATACTGGTGATACCTTCTTCAAACGTGTACTGTACAAGAACAAACATGCATACATATTGGCAGCCAACTATTCAGTGTGCTGATCAGAACTGCCTGCTGCAATAGGTTAAAGAGTGGTTTTGACTTTTTTGCACCTTGCTTGTGTTCTTCCGAGCTCATCTGCTATTGGTTGCTGGTGTCAGGGAATGACTTTGGTTTGGTGTGGCAGAGAATTGTTTGTGTTCTTGTTTCTTCAGGTGAATAGCGCTTCTGGGAATGAGGCAGATGCTGTTGTGATCCTGGAGAAGATTCCCTTCCAGGAAGAGAACATCACCAAACTCCTAAAGAAGCACACATCACTTCAGCTCCAGATGACCAACGATATCTATAGCACTTACCGCCTTTTCCTTCCTCCAGAATTAAATGGTGAGTGGCCATCAAAGGAAGCTTGGTGGACATCTGTGGGAAGCTGTCCCAAAAGCCAGAGGTCCCCAACCTTTTGGACAGCAGGGACCGGTTACGAGGGGAGAGTTTTTTCCACAGACCGGAGGGGGCGTGGTAATAATAATGATGATGATGATGATGATGATGAAGTTGGAAGGGACCTTGGAGGTCATCTAGTCCAACCCCCTGCTCAGGCAGGAAACCCTACACCATTTCGGACAAATGGCTGTCCAGTCTCTTCTTAAAAACTTCCAGTGTTGGAGCATTCACAACTTCTGGAGGCAGGTTGTTCCACTAGTTAATTGTTCTAACAGTCAGGAAGTTTCTCCTTAGTTCTAGGTTGCTTCTCTCTTTGGTTAGTTTCCATCCGTTGCTTCTTGTCCTGCCTTCAGGCGCTTTGGAGAATAGCTTGACTCCCTCTTCTTTGTGGCAGCCCCTGAGATACTGGAACACTGCTATCATGTCCCCCTCGTCCTTCTCTTCGTTAAACTAGACATACCCAATTCCAGCAACTGTTCCTTATATGTGTGCTGCCTGTATCCTGCAGATGGGGCTTTGCTTGTTTGTGCAGCCTGGTTGCTGGCATGCTGCGGCCCAGTACCGGTCCACGGACTAGGGATTGGGGACCCCTGCCATAAGCCATATGTGACCCACCCGTCCCTTTTGGTGCCTTTCAGAATCTTTCTGTAACCGTTTGGAAATGGCCGTAGTAGACAGGGGAAAGAGCCAGAGTCAGGGAAATAGATAAGCAGCAGCTGAGCTGACAGTAGGTATGTGAGAATGGCACGTGTCTCAACAGGCCCCTACCTGGTTTCTTGTACTGGAGAGGCAACACAGGAGGAATGCATTTTCAGGCTTGCATGATTCAAGTTCAAATCCAGAGTCAAGGGGATGCTTCCCACTCAACTGTGGTGGGAATTACATCCCTATCAAATCACATCTCCCTTGTCTCTCAGCACATTCTGCTCCAGTGTCTTCCAGCATATCTCAAATTACTCTGCCATGCCTGCCAAAGAGTTCATCTCCGAGATACCGAACAGCGCTTTTCTCCCTATCAAATGTTTTTTTTTTATTATTCCAATGCAGAAAATGCAGGATGAAATTTTGTGGGGTTGGGATTTGGGTTAGGGTTGGGGTTGGGGTTGAGGTTAGGGTTTTTTTCAGATAACATTCTCAATATTTAGCAAACAGCATAAGGTCTGGGTTCATGTGTTTAAAACAAACCAATGAGTAATAGTTGACTAATATAAACAATATGTTAATCGCTCGATGGTCTTCTTCTTGCTAATATATATTCAAAATTACCTATCACGTCCTTTTCTCTCTAACACGTTTTTTTCTAGCCATTGGAAAAAAATATCCCATGTTCTAAAATACACTGAGTCTTCTTTCTCTTTTATCTTTAAAGTCAATCTATTCATTTCTGCACCCTCTGTCACTAGATGGTTCAATTTTTAAAAGAGTGGGGGAAGCTTTGTATTTCGTGGTGGTTGAGAGAAGGGGCCTGTCCTTGTGGCCGATGAACCCTAAACACTGGCAAGAACATAAGACAGACCCAGATTTTCCATGCTGTTTTTAAATCATCAGAAGAAAGGGGCAGGCAGCACTTAGCTGCCAAGTCTACTCTCCCCGGGAGCTCACAGTGTAGGAGAACATTTGCACTAGCTATTGTGATCTTCTTGCTTTTGCTTGGACTAGGAGGAAGAAATTATTTCCACAAGGTGGCTCTCTTGGATAATGAACCTTGAAACAGAAAGTGTTACATCTGAATGGCAAGCTGGTGCTATGTTATTCCCCGTGCCATGCATTTTACTCTAAATTCTGAGTATCAGTCTGATTCAGATCCTAAGGGCAATCTTATTTGTTCAGACCCTAAATCATTAATGTAAAATGTGAAATTATATCTGAAGGCAGGACAAGAAGCAACAGATGGAAACTAATCAAGGAGAGAAGCAACCTAGAACTAAGGAGAAACTTCCTGATAGTCAGAACAATTAACCAGTGGAACAACCTGCCTCCAGAAGCAATGAATGCTCCAACACTGGAAGTTTTTAAGAAGAGACTGGACAGTAATTTGTCTGAAATGGTCTAGGGTTTCCTGCCTGAGCAGGGGCTTGGACTAGATGACCTCCAAGGTGCCTTCCAACTTTATTATTGTTATTATAATCTCCAGAATCAGTAGATGGAGATAAAAATCTAAAGTACCAATTTACTTAGTCACTTGGTTCAGACGTGCTAGGCTGAACTAAATATTGGTAGTCCTCGACATTATGACCATAGTGGAACCTGCCCATCCTGGTCGTAGGTTGTGATGATTGTAAAATGGGGTTGATCCGTGTGACAGACCCGGTTTTACAACCTTTTTTTTTGCAGTGATAAGGTAATGCAGCAGTTGTAAAGCAGCCACCCAATTTTTAAGCGAACAAAAGGGTTGTTAAGCAGATCGGTTCCACTGGTTTATTGTTCTCACTGTTAGGAAATTTCTTAGTTCTAAGTTGCTTCTCTCCTTGGTAATTGGAAGATGAGACACAATAGCCTCTGAACCTTTTCCTTTGTGAATTTCCCATTGGATTAAGAGGGAACAACATGCTTTGTAGGACTAATACCGGCCTTAGAATAAAAGGACTTTCTGTTTATATTCAGTGAAGCTCCTTTGAGTAGCAGAGGGCTTTGATGACGCTTTCTTGTTCCTCTTTACGAACTGATAAACGGCTTATTGAGTGATGGTGTAAAGAAATAAATAGCTGCTTACGCCTGTTCTCCTGTTCCAAGTAGACTTGAGTTATGGCATCTCTTAACACAGGAACCATATGCTGCTGGTGGCGCTTTGCATATCTACAGCTGCAAATTTGATTTCTGCATTCAGTTAAAAGGCTTTTGCACCGCTGAGCTTTATTAGGTGTGAGGTGGGCTGGGATTATTTCAGAGAAGCCCTCCTGCCAGCTGGAAAAGGGTCAAGATGACGTCTTGAGTTAATGTTGCATTTTCTTTGAAATATTATATTTTGAAATGCTCTGAAATAGAGGGGCAAGAGTCAGCAGGCCGAGGAGCTTGGACGTTTCCATATCTCTTGGCCACACGGTCTTTTATCCCACTAAAGTTCATAAACAAATCAGCTTCATCAGAACCACAAGGAGAAATAATCTTCAGCAGAACAGTTTAAAAATGAGCGCCCAATATTGGTTAACAGTAAACTTTAGACACATCAAACTAAAGACGTGATGAAGTCGTCGGTTCAAACGGAGGTAAAAATCAAATGGGGATTCAACAGTGAATGTATAAAAAGGACAGTTGGACAGGATCTTCCAAATTTACATTGGTCATGTAACTCTATCGATCGTCCTGGATTAACAAACAACCATTCAAAAATACACTGGCACTGAAAAATCGGTCCTCGTACTAACGACCGTCAAGGCATGCCCATGGTCAAGTGACCAAAATCTGGGCACTTAGCAACTGACGTTATTTACAACTGTCGCAGTGTCCCTGTGTCACGTGATTGCTATCTGCAAATCTTCCCAGCCGGCTTCTGACAAGGAAAATCAATAGATCAGGGGTAGGCAACCTTGGCTCTTTTATGACTCGTGGACTTCAACTCCCAGAATTCCTGAGCCAGCCTGGCTCAGCTTGGAAACCTCCCCCTTTCCCCTCAGCGTGGCTGGCTCAGGAATTCTGGGAGTTGAAGTCCACGAGTCATAAAAGGGCCAAGGTTGCCTACCCCTGCAATAGGGGAAACCAAATTGCTTAAACGACTGCCTGATTCCTTTAAAAACGGCGGTGGTTCGCTTAGCAATTGCATCAAATCTATCATAAAATCGAGTGTCCCTCACTTAACATCTGCCTTGCTTAGTTAGCAATGAAAATTCTGGTTCCCAATTGCAGTCGTAAGTTGAGGACTCCCCCCAGATTATCATCTTAAGAACTGGAACTAATCAGGTAAAATAGTTTTTCAAACGGAAGAAAGGCTCACATCCTCATTCTACAAGGAGGTTTTTGGTGACTGCATTCACACCTCACACAAAGCCCCTGAATCAGCAGTGAACAACTCCTTTTTTTTAAAAAAAAAAAAGAACAGTTAATCTTCTTGCTTTAAGTATGTTGAAAAGGAAAATAAAAGTCTCTATTCAGGCTGCCGAACCCCTGAGATATTGGAAGCTTCACACTAATTTCCTTTTGACAGCATTTAAGAGCTGCAAGTTCTGGTATGCTCCTCCCCACATGCTTTTCCATTTTACCTCTGCTTTGCCAGCTTCCCTCAGAGGCATGTCTTATTTTATTGTCTAGTTAATGTTCCTTTCCAGGTTTGTCTCCTCTGAGTTTATACAAGCCAACGTGTATAACTAAGCCATTATAAGGCTATTAAGCATTACTTTAATTTTTAATAGCTTGCGTGTCTCTGTGTGTGTCTATGTATACAGTATGTGTGTGTGTATGCCTGTGTGTGTGTGTGTGTTTCTCAGATACTTTTTATTTCACTTACCTGTGATGCAGGCTCGTGGGTATTGCTTCTGCTCTAAAGCAAATCGATGGCTTTCTGTATCAAAACTGAACGCGGGTTTTTTTTTCAACCTTTCCCTCCCAAATTAAAGCAAAATTAGTCTTTAGACGGTGGGTTTGCTTGGGGGAGGACTTGGATTTGTATCTTTCCGTTATTTTTCAGGGCCTTGAAAGGGGCTTAGAATTCTTCCTTAGAACATATCCATAACATATAGGTATTAGTATATGACATACTAATCATAGTGAAGGCCCTTCTCGCAGCCCTTGCTTCATAAATAATAGCTAACCAGAGGGGAAATGCACAAATGCTTGCTTTTGCCTAAGATACACCTACTTAGCAGTTTGTGCAATTAATCAGAATAGAGCTGTAAGGGGCCTTGGAGGTCTTCTAGTCCTCAAGCAGGAGATCCTATACCATCTCAGACAAGTGACTGTCTAGTCTCTTCTTAAAAATCTCCAGTGATGAAGCACCTAGAACTTCTGAA